AGCAGCCCTCAAAGGCGTAAGCAGTTGGTCTGGGGAGCCCCAATGTCACTTGCCAGGGCCGTATTGGCACAGTTACCCAGACGGGCAGTAGGTGGCCCCCCTCAAAATTTCTTTAGAAATTTTCTAGTTTTATATAATGTTATATTATATAACATGTATTATATTTCTATATATTATAAAACCAAGACTTTAACTTCAGAATGTACCTTTTTTGCAATCAAATCAGATCAGCACTGTTGCAACACACAGTATATGTTTCCTTAATAATACTAATAAACACTTTTATATAAAAAATTGTTTAATTAGTGTTTTGACTGTAGATAAGAGCAATTTTACACACTACTTTCTTGAAGTCATTTCCTTAAGGAAAATGAAAATCTGCTAAACCTAAATAGGTTCAAATTTTGTAGTTTATTTTTACTGTTAATTTATGTTTTGTTTTTTCTCCAAGTTGTCCCTGGATTTAATGTCAGAAATCTAGTTACCATAGTTTAGTTAGTAATTCAAATATTTTGAAAATTTGGTCAAAGATGCCAAATTTACAGATTGTATATTTGCCTAAATCTGTCACACTGATGCCTTACCTTCATACAGCCAGTCAGCAAGCCCATTAAAGATGACCCCCTCTTTACCAGTCGAGACAAGGCGGATCGATCGACTATCCACCGTCGACCTGTAGTAGATGTTGTTTTCAAAAATGAAGATCTGGATAAAAGAGAAACAAAACACTGACAGTTTTTTTCTGTAAGCTAATAAAAGTGGTTTTGTTATCAACAGCATTGAAACATTTAAGAGGCACTTCTGCCCTCTTACCCTCTTCAAAAAATTTCAGAGCCACAAATTCTTCTTTCTCTAATAAAAAGCCTTTTGTTATAATATACACAAAAAAACTGTAGGACTCCTAGATGTTGAAAAAAGAGTAATGAGAAACCCAGCAATTAAAGAATGTCCTTATAATTTACCATGCTACTTTTTCTTGCAAGAATTAAATCCATTCACAGAAACCTTTTTTATTTCCTGTCATTGTTATGTAACAACCACTTACTGTTGCAATTTTTTTATGCTTGAAAACTTTGTAATTTCTGTAGGTGTGCAAACCTGAAATGTCTGGTTCCCTGCAGCAATTCAATCAAATGATGAAAAAATTCTTTTGAATTTTGATGACAGACTGTGCTGCAGTCACAGTCAATGTTGGATAACAAAATTAGAAAGCAGGTTAAAGAACTATTGGTCTGGCAGAATTAGAACACAATTTTCAAGTAGGTGTAACTGGTAAAAATGCAGTCCAATAACATTAGTTTCAATTTCCAGTGATGTTGTCTATCATAACCTTGACGGCTTTTAAAGGCCACCTAATATGCACCAACTCCATAAATACATTAAGTTAGATGGGGAAAAACTAGCCTTTTCTATTTCTATTTAAATGCAACCAGTATTAGAGATCCTGTCACTTTGATCAGAGAGCAAGAACTGTGAAGGCCTTAACAGCCTCATGCTGCAGACCGCTGTGCCTGAAAAAAACATCTACCCCTAATTTCATTGCATTTTTCATGCCCTTGGCAGTTTCTGTCCTTAAATTGAAACTTTGTGCAAGGACCAGACTGGCTTTACATCACTATATAGAGTAAATCTTAATCCAAACAGAAACGTTGTCTCCTCCCCTGCTGAATGTCCTGCTCAACAGAAATTTACCAAAAGTGAAAGATGTAGCAAAGACTTTGAATTGTTAATCAAGACTCACTTGTCTTTATACAGATGTCATTGCTTTGTCTTTTATAGTACAGTATAGTATAGTAGTATAGATGAGTACATTATTCCTCAGGAAATCTTTTTGAGTATATTTTTTTTTACTTTGCCATTTCAGTAAAGATAAGAGTGTGATCGATTTGTGTATGATGTACAAATTAGGAAGGGATTGGTTATGAACTGAATATGCCCAGTTAAATCTAACAAACAAGAGAAATATAAAAAATACAAAAGCAAAATTATATGGAAGGATGTCTGCCTGATGATAAAAAATAGGATGCAGTAACAACAATACAGTTCAGTGTGTATGCTGCTCTGGAGTGAAGAACATTGAAGCGGAACTATAAATAGGATCAGCAAATATTTGGATTATTATTATTTCTACACTACTACTACTACTACTACTACTACTACTACTACTACTAATAATAATAATAATAATAATAATAACCATAATAATAATAAAATTATTATGACTTTGAGAGATGGTAATTTTTTTTTACCAGTGTCTTTATAAAGAACATTATGGATGCTAATCAAATGCTTATATGTCAACTCTATTGTTATAATATTATATTACCATGTCTGCACTCCCACATATGAAGTCCACTCTCTATTTCAAAGCAAAAAAGCTAAGAAAAAGTATATCCTCTAATATTACAGATTTATTTATAGATGTTGGAGCTTGGTCTGTTTTTCAGTGTAGTTCTGTTTCTCTGACTGTGACTAACTGTATATGCTCTCTTTCATCCTCTGACATGGGAGCTGGCTCGGAGCTCGTCTGCCCGGCTGTGTGTTTCCTGGATAGGGCCGCCGGTGGAGCTGGTTGGCAGTTACCTGTTTGTAAAATGCTTCTTTTATTACGACTGCTTCTGTCTTCTGTTATGGATTTAAAACAAAAACAGCAAACTGACAAATTTGTATCACTAGGTCAAAGATATATATATACCCCCAAAACAGATTTGGATATCATCTGCAAAAACCTGATTGGTGCAATTCTAATCAATATAGGAGTTGGTAAAAATAGAGAGACTGGTGGGTTGCTAGTGTTGCAAAACAACTTCGGTACATGACTCATTACATACAGCAGACTCAAAGCTCAGAATATCAACTTGCACTCCAAATGATCGAAAGGGAATTAAATCCTTGGACTGACAACCCCAAAAATCCCAAATTACACCTATCTCAACAGGTGTTTTTCTCTCTTGTTTTTCACTCCCACTTCTGTTTCTACTTTTAAGAATTTAAAGGAAGGCGTTAAACAAGTTTAGGGGCAGAGAAATTAAAGAAGCTACAGATCAGAAATACATGTAGAGCTTCTGACTGATGTTTGTACATCTTGGATTAACAGGGTGAAATGTCCAGTCCTCATGAAACTCCTTTTGATTTCTTGTTTTTTGTAAAATCCACATTGCTTTGTCAGGATGACCTCATTTTTCAGGTGTTGACCCAGCCTTGCTGATTGCAGTGTCACGGTAGAGTAATAGCTAGTCATTTAAAGAGGGCACTGCAGGATCCATCTCACTGTACGTATGATGCCTCACTGCACGCTGCACACACCTTGGTTTTATATGCGGATGATGAATTGTTCCAGTTCTGATAAACTTAATGGGAAATCATTACATTCACAAACTGTGATGGGGGGAAAGAAAACATGTCCAGGTCAGACGGATAGGAAAAATGAGAGCTCATCTTTGTTTTCCAGCACATCCTCTGAGGCTCATTAAATCAAGAGCAGAGCTACAATACAGCTAAGGCTCTGTGAAAAAAACAATCAGGTGTACCATTACCGTATGTAAATGAACCTACCGTCTTCCCCAGCAGACAGAGTCTCATCCAACTCAAAATGGTAATGTTTTTTCAAAGAAATGCATCGGTAATCTTAGCAGTTATCCAATAAGAGCAATTATGGTTTAAATTAGGGCTGAGGAAACACAGGAGTAATAAACTAAAAAGATAAAGAAAAACTAATTAAGACAAGAGTAGAAAAAGGAATCCAAGGAATAAGAATGATAAAATAAAACATTGTTGGTGCTTGAATTTATTGCACCTTTTAAATTTTATTCAAGGGGAAAAAAGTTTGTTTTTCTCTTGCTCCATTTTCTGTTGTTGTGTTTGGACTAAATGCATCTTATGTAATATAAAATATCAAGCTCTTTTTTGTATGTAATAATGCATGTTATTTCAAGGCTGATGTAGAGCTGAGCTAATGTAATGAATATATTAATAGACTAAAAGGGAGTCACAGAGGCCTTGTTATAAAAAAAAAAAGATCATTTGATTCTTTTTCTTGTGGTTTTTATCCCCAATAGATTCGCTTAATTGCCTTTAAATGACACAGATACCTAAGTCACAGTAGTTTTAACTCCAGAGATGCAGTTTGTGGTGTAAAAGGATACAATAATAAATGATAAGCTATGAATACATTTTGTACTATGGTCTCGAGAGACGTGTTTTGAGATCTGAAATCTCCGTCAACATCGGAGTCCTCGCAGATGTCTTCATGGGGCACATTTCTCCTCTTAAGAAGGTGTTCTTAAGAGCAGAATATAAGCAATCCACTAGATTAGGACTAACAATTTAAGAAAAAATTTCAGTTGCATTGATACCCCGTCATCTGGCTGAAAATGTCATAAACTAAAGAAAGACAGACAGACAGACAGACGGATGGAATGTTTTTGCAGAGGATGACGAGCAAGAGTTTGATTCTCTAGAATTAAACTTGAGACTGAAAGATTATTCCACACCTTGTAGATGAATAAAAATAAAAATAAAATTTTTATCTCTATTGTCAAACATTAATAAACTCACAGATTACCACCCTTCCTCTCCAAATATATATACTCTGTGCTGGATTATTAAATAGGAATAGAAAAAAACATTGTCCTTAAAATGAATACTTATGCAGTACACTTGCAATGGTTGCAAACACATTGCAGTATAAGCTAAAATACTGGCATTCTCTGTTTGAGTTAGACAGTCTGCTTGGGCAAAGATGCCATCTGCCTCTGCTCCTCTGACCGGCTCATGAACTATATAAAACTAACACTGAATGACAGTGGTGAAGGTCAAAACAAACAGTTTCAATTTTTATAGCTCATAATCCTTTGTTATAAAACACATAAATCCTTCATCCCAGAAGCTGTTAGACATTATAACCATCCCTGCTCTCTACAAACTCAGAATGTGTTACATCCCTGCTGTTATCTGCTGGGCTTCCGCAATGAAGGTCAATAGGGAATATTTCTATTCTATTCTATTCTATGTTATAAAGGCTCTCCACAAGAATGCCACCAATCAGCATGTCTAACAATAACAGGGTGGCGTGCTTACCAGCTGTTGGCCTTGGGGTCCCCATCCAGCATACTGTAGAACAGAGTCATGCACCTCTGGGGGATTTAAAGGCCAAGTCTCCCTATGGAGAGAGCAGTTTATAGTGAACTTATCACATCTACAATGCACATTACTTTCATTTGTCCCCCTTTCTATACCTCATCCATCACCCCAAACCATGTTTCCAAACACAAGCAAACTGTTCAGATGGATGTAGGGTTAATGTGCTCCGCCACATTAAACTGAACTGAAAGCCGTTTCCTTAAGGTAGCAACGGGAGCAGTTAAATATGGCTGACGTCAGTGAACTGACGAGAAAAGGTCAGACTGAGGGCAGAGATCTGTGAGGGGAAGAAGAGGTGGAGAGAGACATAATGCAGGAGGCTCTTACTGTGTCACGAGGCTGTAAATGATGTACTTGGCCAAATAGGAGTATTGATAGATCTGTTGAAGCAGAAAGAATCAGTTCAAATTAGGCAAAAGCTCAAAATTAGATTATTGTAAATGCATTATTACTGTTGTTTTACCCGTTTTACATCAAAGGCAAACATCACGTGTTTCAAGTCTGGAGAGAACTGGTATCTGGCAGCTTTTGATCGGTCCTGAACAAAATGTAAAAAATAAAACATTCATTATACAACAACTGCATTTAGGTAAATGTTTTTTTATTTTCTTACTTTCAGAGCTCTTGGAATAATGAAAACTTTCTTGTGTATGTATTGTTATGTAAATAACTTATTACAGATTTTTGGATTTCAGGAAATAGATTATCTTCTTTTTATCTAGAACTGCTAGAAGTAATTTTTCTGCATGAGTACACTCTGCAGGATTTTACACCCAAATCTTTGACTGAAGCTGGCTGTATCTGGGACTCATTAAAAACATGAGGATCAGGAGCCCTGATATTTGATGGCCTCCTTCAGTAGATTGAATATCAGGGACAGGATGGGCAACCTCAATACTGAAAGATGATTTTTTTAAATGATCCATACTCGCTGAAATACTTCACACTATGTCGCATTATAACCACAAACATTATTGTATTTCAATGCGACTTATGTAATAGATCCACCAAATGAAGTGGAAAATAATAGAGTGAAATGAAAACAATCTATAGTTGGTGTCAATACACTGTAAAATCTCCATTTGCTGCAGTTATAGCGACATGACTTTACTAGCTTTGTAGATCTATAGAAAGAAGATCATTTCAGTCTCCGCTGCTGTCTGAAGACTTATGCATGGAATAAACAATGTTTGACGAGTTGTTTGGTTTGAGATGCTGTTTAAAACTTAACTCTGCTTTTAACTTCTCCACGACTTCCTCTATTAGCTGTCTTCTGTGTTCATGGTCCTCATTATGTTTTTGAGGTCTTTGAAAAAAAAAAAATAAGCCCTGAAAAAAACAACTTAAAAACCATAAAAAGCCACTTCCATCAGCACTAATTTATTAATGTTGAAGGAATTAATTTACCGGTATATTAATCTATTAGGAAAAAGTCCTAAATAATATATAGAGAGGTTTGTGGTTCTGGCATGGGTAAATGGCATAAAATGCAAAGGGGTATGATTGCTTGTAAAAAGCACTTTAGCATGAGCTTAAGAAGAGGTCAACAATGGCCAAGCATTGAGAAAAACTTGACAGATGGAAAATATGCTTCTTGTGTAATTTAGCACTTAATCCTTCATCTTTTTCTTTGATTATCCTCCTTCTCTAGGTCTGACATACTGCTCACCATAAAACATTGAGTGGCAGTTTTCAGTATGGGGCACGACTTATAACACCCAAACTGACCCTCTGCTGGTATTTTTGTCTGTTCTTTGCTTAATGTGCCAGAGTTAAAAAATCTTAACTCTGAACTTTCACAGTATATTATGGGTTACCCATTTTTTTATCAATGTAATCACATCACAATTTTAAGTGCTGGTTAAAAAATAAATAATAAAATATATAACAAAAATAAATAAATAAACAAGTTGTTGAATAAAACAATGCACACTGTGTAATGTCTTATTTGACCAACTGCACCTCAAACAACTCACCCACCTTGGCTGCTGCTGTCCAGAGGGCCTGTTGGGGCCTCGATTGTAAGACAGCCTTGCTTCTGTCAGTGTGCCCCAGGGCAGCTATGGCTACAATGTATCATACCACTGTTAGTGTGTGAATGTGTGTCTAAATGGGTGAATGTATGGATTTAGTGAAAAGTGCTTCGGCGGCTTTGGACTTGTCAAATCCCTCTTTAAGTACAGGTCATTTACCATTTCGCAAAACATGCATATTCCAACTGTGTAAGTAAGTCATACTCACAAACAGCTGGTTTGACACAATGATCTCCTCTTTCTGTGTTTCCGCATTAAACCTGAGAACATTACCATTTCTTGATCGAAACAGCAGTTCTTTGTCTGTAAATTACACATATGACAATACAGTTAGGGAGTTCGATTCTGAACAATCTAAAGACATAAAAAGCTTAAACTGCATTAAACAAGACTTCATTGTTTTTTTCCGATAGTCTGGCTTAAATTTAAAGGGAAAACTGTACTAAAAAGAGCTATAATTGCTTAGTTAACAGGTAATACTTAGTTCTTATATTGATTCTTAGAACATAAGTTAATTTCATTGTTGAACATTAAACAAATATAATTAAAGTAATAAAGAGTCAGTAAATACAGCAGTTCAGGGCTCAATCCATACTATCATAGTAAAATAAAGGCAAGGTGATACTTCCCTGTCCCTTTGACAATGGCTGGCAAACTATTAAAATGTTGTTTACAGGACTGTTTTCTATGTATTAATACAGACTCTGGATAGTAGAAAAAAAATGTAGACATTTAGAATATTTATGCAGGATAAACTGAAATGTTATATATTTAGATAAATCCTGATAAGTCAGTATTTCAAACAATTGGGTTGTAGAAAAAAATAAGGCTGAATCAAAAATGGTAGTTTTATTAAAGCCAAAATCATTTTGATGTGAAACTTAGAAACATTCTAAGGTTAGAAACAATCTCTTTCCACATCTGACACATTTTTCTTTGTGTGGAAAGCTTCCTTTGTGCAAAGAAAAAAGGGCAAATGCTGACATTTTATCTTCAAATCATGAATCTATTGACTTAAACACTGTTTGATAATGCAGAGCAAGAAGTGAGCTTAATGAGAGATGAACTGTTCAACACAAAAACAATCCTACAAAAATTGCAGTCAAGGGTTGCTTAAAAAAGAATCTAAATCAAAAGACAAAAAACAGAGTCAGCAAGGTCCAATTTTCTGATGCCTTTGATGTTTAAAAAACAAAAAACAGCTAACTCTGAAGGAAACCTAGATATTTCTGTTCAGTAAACTATATCCACATGTTAAACTACCTTTCAAAGCATAAAAACAGGGAAACAATACATAAAATTACATATTTTTGTTCCTTATTTGGAACAACTTAGTTATTTCAGTCTAACATATTCATAATATTTTTGTAATAAAATAGATTTGAAACCACTGAGGGGTTTGAATCTTTTTATATATTCTGTTACATCTCAGCAGACAGAAAGCAGCCCCTCTTTGTTTTAGAGATCAATCTGAAGGTTGAATCTTTGTTTTTGGATCTGGGACTGTGAGAAACTCAGAGGTGAGTAAAAGACTTCAGAGGCCAAATGTGATCAGAGAGAAACAGGGATCAATTACGCTCTGCTGTGAATGAAGTTCAAAAAAATATTGATGAGAGTCACTGGAGTGAGAGGCTGTCCCGTCGGGTTTCTTATCAGAAGGTCATTAGCAACAAATGGATGCTGATTGCTTTAACTTAAATGACAAGTGCAATGTCACACAATTGATTGCAGGAGTTTTGTCAGGTGCTGAAGGCGTTTTCATCACAGTTACAAATAAAGGGTGCAGACAAGTGAGAATGTAAGTAATTATATGCTAATAAGGTGTTAATGTAAGTAATCAGAGGATAATTGGAAGAACATGGACAGATGGTTCTGTCACATGCCAAGTCTCAGCTCCAATCAGATGTGCAAAAGCAAGCTGATTTAAACCAGAAAGCATCTATATGGGCCTTAGAAAGTAATAAAACCAAAAAAATTGTTAGTTTCTCAAAATAAAGCAAACATTAACATTGAAAATATATATTAAATTTTTTTTAATAGAAACGCATAATGTAGTAGTGCAGTTAACTCAGTTGAAAACAAAGAAAAGTTTTGACATCTTTGGTTGCAATCCCTGTGACATAAAGGAGAGCTGTAGCTAGAGCTTCAAATCAAAAAAAGGTTTTCTAGACATTTTTTTCCTTTTCAGCTGCTTTATTTAAAGAAATGTTTAACTGGAAAACATAATTAATCTCTGATGGTTTAATGAGGTTTTACTGTTAAGGTGATGCAGTTTGGACTGAAAAGGCTGCATAGATTTAGAGAAGTTTAGCTGCTCAACAGAAACATCCGATGAGAATAAAACATAAAACAACAAAGATCACTAATATTACTTAGGAAGAAAACAAGAAAAAAAAAAACAATTATTGAAAAGTCTATCAAAATGTACAGGTACATTAACCAGGCTTTAAAATACATTTTATGTGATAAATAAAAATTTCTAACAGCATGTTGTAGCTTTTCTCATTATATGTTGTTTTCACTATGTTTATTCCAAAATTAGTCTTGGCTTATTGTGCTTTACACTAGACTAATGATAATAGGTGATAGTTTATTTATGCAACATTCAATTACATTGAATATATTATATTATACTATTTAAAATATATATTTACATAAAAACAAGAAGAAGTTGTGTACATGGACAGATAAATCAATACAAATATAAAGCCAAATAAAGAACTATAGGCCTTTTGATTTGAAAGCTGTGTTGTTCTTGTAAGTATATAAAGATATTGTTATCATTTTTTTTTTTTACCCACAATGCAATACTAATATTTTGCCATTACTTTCAAAAAGGTTTGTTGTTGTTAGCATCTTAAACAAATGCATCGGTGTTCCTATAAGAAAAAAAAGCTGATATACTAGTTTTTTTAATCGTGTTTAACATTTTTTACAGTCTTTTTCCATATGCTGGTTGCAGTGAAAAGTGGAAGAATATCTTCAGAGAGCTTGAGTTGATAAACAGTTTGGCTGAAAAAAGTTTTCAATAAAAAAGGCTTTCAAAGTGTGGTACAAGCACAACATTATAGTTAGTGATAATTATTCACCAGGTGAATACATACATGTTAAACATTAATCAGGAACAACAACCTAAGATATACTCAGTACGTCTTTGTTGCTATTCCTTGGAGATTATATGAAAGGAAAAAAATAAATAAATAAACTATACCAAACCTAGGATTGTGGAGTTGGTTTGTGAGGTTTTACTCAAACTTTTGTTTGAGTAAAACCTCACATCAATTTTTCAAATTGAAAATATTTGGAACAATTTTCCCAGCGAACATCAGGGGGCGCTAAGTTTGCTGGTCTAGCAGGGTTGAGCTCCATTGCCAGCTTCCATCTCTGTTTTTACTTCAGAGGAGACAGCTAGAAATGTATATTGCAGAACATCTTTTGCGTCTGTTATAATGAAGTAGTTAAAACTCGCCAATACAGTTGAAATTATTCACTTAATTATTTGCTTTCTAAGAGCAAACATAGTTATGTGGCTCCAAGAAAACAGTTTTGTGTTCTTAGGATTTTGTTGAAAAACTATAAAGAGCAAAAGGATAAAGACAAAAGGTTCTTTTCTACTTTACTTTTGGCACATAAGCAGGCCTGAAAACAAAGCAAATTTGGCTATTATCCGTTCTTGATTTAGCTCCAGCAGAACTGAACTGTTACAGCTCTCGGTGTCTAAGCTCTCATCTTTGTTTTACCACTTAGAGACATAACATACAATTAAAATAAATATTTAAATTCACTTCAATTAAAAATATTTTCCTCAACCCGAAGCAATTTACTTCTGGACATGCCATTAGAGAAAATTTCACTTGGCTTAAGAGCTTAAAATGGATCCACAAAATGAGTTGATCTGATTCTGATTTCTTCTTTATGAATTATTGAAAAAAAACAAAAAAAAAACGTTTTTAGCTTGTACTAACTAAAATGTCTCTAAATGTACATTCTTATCAATGTAGGCTGCACAAAAATGTTCAGGAAGCTTTACCTGCAGAAAAAGATGTGCCAGACTTTAATAGCAGTGGTACATTGTGAGTCAAGAAGAAAAATGTCAAGCTGTCTGAGTATGGGTTGTGTTTTGACAAAGAAGTCAGATTTTAAATGTCAAAGCTAAACTGGTAACGCACCACTAAGCCATTTAGCGTCTGGGTCATGGATTCGGAGGTCCGCTCCAAAGACGTCATCCAAGGTTACTTTCTTCTTAAGAGCGAGGCTGTCATCTTCACCTGTCAAACACATCAGTTAGATAATAAAGCGTGGATAAATTAAATATTTTAAAATAATTTCTACAGTGACAACAAGATGTTCAGATTAACCTAATGAAATACAAATTACATTTATTGTCTTATAAAATGTGACTAAACTTCAGCTTCTGTGAGTGATAGTTAACATTCATTACTCTTTAAAAATTCTGATGCTTACTTGCACAAAGATTACTATGCCTTAACAGAGTCAAGGAAGGCAAAAGTTAAGGCCTTGTAAGTCATATATTCACAAAATTGGCATTAATTAGACATAGCTGTACAACCAGGTTAGATTCTAAGCCACCACTCCTAGATGCTGCTCCTTTTTCTCTCCTTTTTTAAAACATACTGCTTCTCAGGGTGAGGCTATTGGAACATTTTAGGCAAGGTAACAAGAAGAAAGTTGTAAATCCCAACAAATCTGGTTCATCAGTATAATTTGCTGCATGCCAAGATGGGCTGAAAGGCCAACCAGAGAGGAAGTAGCCATTAGTTTAAAGGTATAGAGGATGATCTTTTTATTTCGAGGTGGATTATCTAAATAAATGAGCCTCCCAATTGTCAATCATTCTGTTGATATGTTTAGGTAAGGTTGTCCTACGTGCTCCTCCCCAGTTAGCTATCTTTTTTCTGCGCATGCGTACTTTTAGGCATATATCTGTGGTGAGCTACAGTTTCAGACAGTGATTGTAGCTCAGCTTTTTCACCGCGGTTCTTTGAAAATGGTCGAGGGTCATAAAGTGTCTATGAAGCGTATGGAATGAAAATAAAGGCCCCATAAGAGGCAGATATATCCTAGAATGCGGAGATCTCTCCTCGCCAAGCATTATGAGATTTTCTGTCACAGCGGCCCGCTGTAGCCATAGGCTGTAACGACCCGACTAGCAGCAACTAATAACAAAGCTGGCACAGGCACTGCGTGGTGGAGGAGGGGTTACGGGACCTACAGGGAGCAAAAAGTAGTGAACATCTGTCCAAATGGTCAGTTAACCGAGTTAACTATAAAGTCCACTATATAGACCCCGCTCTATATATTCCAGGATGGCAGGAAAATTTTGTAATGTGGACCCAGTGAATGAGCCAGGCCCTAATGGAAGCACGAACATAAACCTGGTTTGTAGGTCCATTGCCAGAATCCAGTTCAGACTGCTGAGCCTCCAGGACTTGATCCTTAATTTCCCACGATAACACTCCCACAATGAAGGTAGGTTGAATGATGGTTAAGACATTCCTGGTTCCTGTTCACTGCAGTATTGCCCAGACAGGGCATTTGGTTTGGTGTTGTCAGAGCCTAAGCAGTAAGAGATGACCAAGTTGAAACAGGAAAAGAACAGAGACCAATGTAATTATATAGGTCCCAGATGTTTTGCTTCTAGGAGATAGGTCAGATTGTTGTGGTCAGTCCGCACAATAACAAGATGTTCAGCTACCTCCAACCAGTGGCGCCACTCTTCAAAAGCCATTTTTATGGCTACAAGGTCTCTATTGACCACATGATAATTTTGTCCTGCTTGAGACAAATGGTGGGAAAAGAAGGCACGTGGATGAAGTTTATCATCGTCAGTGAAAATGTGCGAAAAGTTTGCAACAATCCCTAAATCAGAGGTATAAACTTCAAGGAAAAACAGTTTTTTTGGATTTGCCTGAATCAGAATCAGTGGATTGGGAGCCCTTTCCTTGAGCTCCGAAAAAGCCCTTTTGGCTTCAGGTGAAATAAAAGGTAATTCGGAGGAGGTAAGGCAAGTGATGGGTAGAGAAGTTTGACTGTAGTTTATAATGAATCTGTGGTAGAGGTTACCCAATCCTAAAAACATAGTTGCTTGCAAGTTTAGGGAGTAGGCCAATCGAGTATGGCTTGAATCTTCTCTGGATCTGCCTGCTCTCCAGAATGTGTCCCAAAAAGGCGTGGCATAAAACTCACACTTTGTGGCTTTGTCAAAGTGTTGGTTCTCTAGAAGTTGTTGGAAAACTTGACGCATGTGGATCTTATGTTCAGAAAAGGTCCTAAAAAATCCAAAAAGTCATCAAGGTATACAAACTGATTTAAAAAAAAGCTCTAAGGATGTCATTCACAAGGGATTGGAAAACTGCAGGTGCATTTGTGAGACTGAAATGCATTGCCAGATATTCGAAATGACCTAGGGGGTCTTGAATGCTGTCTTCCATCTTTCTCCTTCTCTTATTCTGACCAGGTGGTAAGCATTTCAGAGATCTGACTTGGTTAAGAAATGTGAGCCATGAAGCGGTTCAAAGGCTGCTGAGAGAATAGGAAATGGATATTCCTTTTTCACAGTATTCTGGTTAAGGCCCTGTAATCATTGCAAGGTCTTACTGATCCATCCTTTAACCTGACAAAGAAAAAATCTGCTCCAACATGAGAGGTAAAGGTGTGGATAATTTCAGCAGCTAGTGACTCGTTTATGTACTTCTTGATACTCAGGTTTGGACAGGTTATACAACCTACTGGAGGGGAGAGAAACTCCAAGAAGAAACTCAATAGTACAGTCATATGGGCAGTGAGGTGGGAGAGAGAGAGAGAGAGAGCCTTACACTTAGTGAAAACCGGATGAAGGTCCTGATACTCAGGAGGAACCAGGAAGAGGTATACTCCCATTTCCTGTTCTTGACAATTTAAGACATTGCGGACTGAAGACAGTTTGACAGACAGTGGTTTATAGTTTTGCCTTAAAATTTATGAAAATAATTCATTTATATAGTTATTGAGTCAGGTAAATATTTGGTAGTGTTTGGTTTAATGAAAGGTTTTATCTGTCCTTGTGCAAATCGGTTTGGCTAACATTTAAGCACAAAATCTGTGCAGTGTGGGGACTATAAATCTGATATTTGCATTAACGGTACTCCTACTGGACTACTCGAAAATGTAACTAGCACAATCCATAGTCAAACTCTGCCAGCCTTATTTCAAGACACTTGCAGGACCCAGTCCAGGTACACCGGGTCCTTGGAGGATGCAACCACTAAAATCGGAAACAGCCATTTTTTAGCAGAAGGATGGCAGTGCGATGATAACCAAAAAAGTCAAAACAAGATCTGGAGCTGACGGATGACAAAAGAGGAGCTAGGCCATAAGTAAGGGAGCAAGCCGGTCTGAAATCTCTGAGTGTTTTCTTTTGCATTTACAGTATATTTAAGAAACAACAGCTACATTGAGGACTGACGGCCTGGTATTATTTTGCAAATGGATAATACAATTTTATTTTTTACAGACCTCAAGTTGCTTTTGACCAATAAATGTTTGAAGCTATGTTGAATATCGTCATTATAAATATTTTATGAGCTAAAAATCTGAGCAATTGTATCCCTTTGCAAGGCAGTGTAGAAGTGAGGCAAATGTCTAAAGGGAAATTGAATCTGACATCCGCCTGGAGCTTTTACCACATTATCATACCCATTAAAACAGCCATGAATAGTATTACACTTTAAAAGCTTTTTTTATCCAATGAAACAATGACTTGTCTCTGTGTAAAAAAAGAGCTCAGAATAAAAAAAGACTCCATGTCCTCTGTAAAATATTCCTTACTGCAAGAGGGTCATCAAATTAAAACAGCTGTCTGAACTGCAGGAGGGAAAATGCAGCAGTCAAGACAATCACAGGAGGTTAGTTTGCAGGCTGCAGTGCTGAAAGTAAAGTCAGCCGTGGGAACAGGAAAACTGTATGCTGTGTTAAACTGCTAAACATGTGTCTTAAATGCACAACTTGTTTGTCCCCATGGTTAAGGGGCTGTTAAGAGGATTTAAAAAAAACCTCAAAAGAGTTGTTTTATCTATTAGCAATACACTAAACATGCATCAGAATATCAACCCTTACTTTTCACAAAACATTTATGCAACACATTTTCTTAGAACTTCTCTATACAACACTTTTCTGAAAGTTTCACGATTTTTACATCTTTAGCAACTGTTTTTCAGCTTACCCAAATCATTTAATTCAAAACATTTTAAGTATTTACTTCAATTCATTGTATTTTTTTGCGTTGTGAACGTAGCATAAACCTGGTTGCAGCGTTCAGTATAAGTAACTTTTGTGACAGCGTGAGTCCAATATAAAACACAAGAACACAAAACACATGTAAATAAACATTCCTGTGAGTGGAAATAACAACTGTTTAGAAAATGTAAGAAAACCTGATAACTAAATGTGCATTATGGAAGTGCTTCAGGCCACTGGGGCAATACATTGATCATCAACTCATATAGGAGCAGACCATACAAAATACTACAAATTGAAATTATTGAACCAGACCCTATATAAACAAGAAACCTGTCTTTTTCAAGGTCTTGAAAATATGCATCTATGATTTCTATTCGGTAAGAGGGTGCCTTAAAATGGAATAGATACATTATTTTGATATATACAAAATATAATGGAAACTAGGATTAAAAAGTCCACACTAAAGCATTGAAAGGAGTCGCTCAGTAGCTTTCTGTGAAGTTTGTTGAATTTTTTTTCATAAAGAGGGGAAGACGATAAACCATGCATGTCCCATATTGTTATTTTTTTTGTTTTTTGAGGCTCAAAGAGATCTCTATATTACTTTATCTGTTTTCTGTAATCCCAAGCTCCTTTCATAGGCAAAGTACCCTCTATACTGAAACGTTTTATTGATTGTGTATATCTAGGTATGCAGTGCTTACCATATATATGCTGTGGCAAACTTTTTGCAGCCCAAGGCAACTTTTGTCAGAGGGCCCTCTTCCAAGCCTGTCCTAATGTCTCAGTAGGCCCTGAGTGTGACAGATTCTATGGAGCTGCAACAGTGTTCATTCTGCAATACCAAGGACCAGACAGTAGCACAGCTTTATATTTGGCTGTGTTCAGTCCTCTGGCCTTCACAGATAAAAAAAATTTGAGGCTGGTTTTACAGCGAGTAAAAAGTATTCATATTGTCATAGGACATCAATTTGTTTTAGTAATGCACAATTCAGTCTAAGTGGATGGCAATCAGGCAAAGAAACAATTTTACTCGTATATCTTTTTTCAAAAATAGCTTAAGTATGAAGGCACACCGAGTTTCAATCATTGGGATAAAAGCTTCCCAAACATTAGATTAACATTCTTTATATTTATATATTTCTTCCACAATAAATTTGCTGCTCATGAAGCCCTTCATTCCTGTTTTGAAAAAAACACTTTCATTAATCCTGCCGAAATTGTAATAAATAATTTACAGAACAGTCTATTGGTTGTACTCAGCACTAAGTGAAGTATTCACTATAAAATACTTTGTGTTGAGAAAAACACATTAACTTACCTATTTTAAATAAAATATAGAAACTAATCATTTTTTTCTTTTTATTATTAATATGCATGTTTTAATTTATGTAAAACTGAATCCTGGAAGCTACCATGGAAGGCTCATACTGTTCCCATCACAACCAGTCTTTAAGAGTCTTTAATCACAAGTACAGTTCAGGTAAAAGTCTCTCTGCCCTCTGTTCCTCATAATGACAGCGGAGATACTTGTCAGAGTTAAACCACCTAATATAATGCAGGGTTAATAGATAATCAGTCATAACCAACAATTGACCTATTCTGTCAGTATTCAGTTTTAATTTTCAGCCTTGGCTAATCCACTTCTTCCTGTACCTATATACAAAGATGCATAAAGGTCCATCCACCTCTGTGGATGGCAGCGCTGAGCCCTTTCTGAGGCGCTTAGTGTAAATCTTCACATAATAAAGAAAGTAGGACTCAACAGCCATTATTGCCTTTAAAGTACAATCTATCAGTCTGTCTCCTCCTGTGCTGCATCTGTGCAAATACCTTTTTGTCCCCTTCTTTTTCTTCTTATTCAGGTTGTGATGGAGCATGTAGCGATAATATGTAACGCAATAAAAATTAAGACGAATCGTTGTAAATGATATAGAAAATAGCAATTATGCATGCAATTTAGCGGCTCTTATTTGTAATCTTTAAAGATCAGTCCCTTTGTACTTACAGAGCATTAATGTATTTGCAGCGTGTTTTCACCTCTTGCCCAGAACAGATTTAAATCTTTTATTACAGTTGCACATGTTGGTTTTAGATCTCCCTTATGACAATACCTAATTTGAAACAAAACATGATAAATTTACAACCACTCATTCATTGAAGATTTTAACTTAGTTTAAGCAGTCGACATGACAAAATACTAGCAACAATTGCTATAAACGGACTAAATCGAACTTATAATTAGAACTTGTCTTTTGTCACATTTTTAACCAAGGAATATGTAAAGTTAAGGGAAAGAAATTTTTTCAAAAGGAACTTTAATAATCTTAAAATAAATTATCAACAGCTATAATAGCTGGTGTTTGAAATAAAATATGACTTGTAAAAGGACTGTTTTTTCCACAAATTAAATAGAACTACAGAAAATATACTATTTACAAAAATACATAATTATTTATAACTAAAGGTTTGCTTTTTTGTCTATATAATTAAATATGAAAAGTAATAAAACATGTAAACTTTTTAGGCATTATTTTTATTAAGCACCTTTCAGGTTTAGCATTATTGATATTTTTTTCCTAAATTTATTACATTATCTCCAAAATAAAGCCTTTTATTTTCTTCAAGCAAATCAGTTCATATTTACCTGCATTACTGTTAATTGCTTGCATATTTATGTATTTTTCGATTAGAACACATGCAATTAGTAAACATATCATCCAAATATCAGTTGTAGATTTATGGTAATAAAGAATAATATCCTGAGTTAAAAGTTTGGCCACATTCTGCAGTGTTAGGAAAATCTGGGCAACTATAGTAACATCTTTAAATACAAATCCCATCTTACACAACCTGGTCTGAGGAAATAGAGCATCAACAACATGAAGATATGTTTTGCTTCCATACTTTTTCTTTTTGCCCACTTTCTTTTTCTGTGAAAAGATGAAAAGACTCTGCTTCCTAGTGCGATAAAATGGTGCAGTTAAAAGATGTCAAATAATCATGACTGGTAGAAGAAAGAGGGGATTTTCTACAAGTTGCCAAAACCATCATTTGATGTGGAATTGAAGCAGCAGGAAAAAGCCTCCAAAAAACTTGAAAAACATGTGAATGTCATGGAAAAACACACTCTTTGAATGTATCACCATGTGGTCATGGCGCCCTTCAGAATATTGTTTGAGTTTTTATGTGTGATACATACTAGGCGTCAGCAAGATAACGGAGGTGACAATCAGAGAGCATATGATCAGGATGACCAGGAGGGCGATCGCTATTCCCTTCCAGTTCCTCTGAGGAGGCGCACTGCCCACGAGGTCCTAAAAACGATAAACATACAATGTGTTACAAACAGATACAGTTATAAAAAAAATGTGTTTATTTTCCAAAACTTCACTCTTCTTCCCACCTCAGCTCGTCAGCTGGATCTTTTGACCTAATCAAACAAAAACATTTTGAATTAAAAGCCTTTTCTTTTTTTCTTTTTCTTTTTTTTTAATAGAATGGTTTTGTGGCCTTTTAGGCAATTGGATGATTGTTTTTATAGAAGACCATCTGCAGCTGCACTGGACTGTCTTAAATTAGACAAAAACGGAGCTCATGAAGCTTAACCATTTAGTTTCATTTTAAATTGAAATGCTCTAATATATGAAAAAACAGACCTTTTAAACCCTGTCTATCTTACTTTAAGGGCCTTCCGACTAATCATAAACATTGAAACTGGAATGCCATAGCAACAGATGTTTGTTGTGCATCAAAATACAATTTCAGTCATCTATTTTAAATAAGCTCTGCTGGGCCTCCAGACTGTGTTTTGAACCCATCTTCGATAAGAGCTTTACTTTAACAAGAAGTAGCTTTTCAAGCCTCTTTTCAGTCACAACACAATTTTGAATCCAAAGTAAAGAACCTCCATCTAAACATCTAGACCAGCACCATTGCATCACAGAGACCATATTAATAAGATATCACCATCAGCAGCCCTTTCATGCATAGTGATCACTACAGTTTAGAGGCTTTTAAAAGTTTTTTTTATTTTTTATATATACATGACTTCAATTTTGGGCACTTGTGCATATAGTCCAGTCTAGTGGAAGCTATTCCATCATCCGCTACTAAAAAATCCCATTTGTTGATCGTTATGGTAAAAAAAAAGTCAGTAAATCAAGATGGCTTAAACACACTGAAAAAGACCAAACACCTTGGTTATTTCACTTTCTACAAGGGAGCAGAGGAACCACCATTCCAACAGAATACCATATTACAACTGGAAAACTAATTTACAATTAAATCCATGCAACTACCTTGTTGGCATACTGCTTTTTACAGTATAAAATGTATAAAGTACACTTGAGTGAAAAGATAAATATTTATAGAAGATATATTTTTTTTTAAACCTTGTTTGACATTCCTAAGGATGTATAAAAACTCTTAGTAAAATATCCTGTTTATAATAATTCATGCATGACAGGGTTAATCTCTGAGTTGTGAAAACTATGTTTTCAGACTCAAAGCAACGTGACAATAAGCAACATGGGAGCTTAAAATTATCTTTGCATAATTTAATGATAAAATTACATAAAATATATTTTTCTTTTAGGGTCAGTGTTAGCTGTGAAGCCTTTAGGAGTCTGAATACGTTATAAAAGTGACATATTTGTCAAATAACAAGACTGGACGTTTATTGGACATAAAGTCATTGTAAAGAGCTAATAGTAACTACAACCCTTTTATAAAACATGATTTAACAAGACAGGCTTATCTTTCCTACTGTAAAGATAACGTCTCTGGATGACCTTGGATGCACACAATTTTTTAAGATTAATCTCATCCCACATGGAACAAAAGCACATTGTATGGTCGCAGCTGGAAAGCAAAAGATTGGCCATTGAACAGCCCATACGCTGACAGACAGATGCTTACAACTCAACCACTTTTCGTGCACTATAACTCTGCAATCATCGAGCTGCTCCCTGCTGCTTGGCTATGAGGAGTCCCCGCAGCTTTGCCTGATAGCTGGAGTGGAGAGACGGTTTCAGAGCAGGCGCAACGGGCAGAATAATGAGCTGCTCCCCTCACGTAGCTCAGCAGATGGTAGATAGCTAATCAGCACTGTTTGAGGCGCATCTACTGGAAAAATCCACAGGACACAGAAAACATTTTAAGAGCAGACATGTGGGAGGCTGCAAACTGGTGGCCAGAGATGACTGGCCCAAACCAGAAAGCATATGTCTCCAACTACTTGGGCGTGGAGGCAATGCTCTTGTGTAATTGCACTTGCACTAACACACACAACAACACTCACTTCTAAATCTGTTGTGTCCATTGGAAAGACACAGAAACAGATGGTTTTTAAAGCAGCTTTGAATGAGGGTTAACTACCAATTTACTCTACCTCTAAGGCTCACTTCATGTTTGCATGGACTATATTTGATATTAAGCTGTAGATTAGTTATAATAGCTTTTATTTAGAACTAAAGAAAAGTTTTCTTGTTCAATAGATGATATCAGTTTCATGTTAAACAATAACCCTCATGCTTTAGTTCATACAGTATTGTTAGTCTACTACAACATGTAATTGAATGACTTGTCTCAAGGGGAAATTAGCAAACTTTACCAAATAAGCAATTTTTGAAAAGGTTAGTGAAATATTTTGTGAAGAAAAGCTTTGCTATCGGTTATAGAAAAACATGAATGAGCCCTTCACCTTCCCAGAGACCCACTCATCAGCAAACCAGGTAACCCAGGTTTGTTTCATAGAGCATGTAGGAAATAAAACTCAGCCACTGCAACTGTTGTGCCCAAAGTCTTTAACACCAAAATACCATTCTGAGGATAAAAACACAGCAATGCATCACCAGTCTGGGGGAAATATATGAAATGAAAGTAAGTATACTATTAAGGCAAGATTAAGTGATTTAGAGTGATACAGGTCTGACATGACTTTGATGACTTTATGTGGGATAATCTGGGTTGTAGACAACATGTAGACAGTGGGTTGTAGACAAGATTTCTATTATCTATCTATTCAGTGTTGCTAATTTGCAAGGGTTATTGATTAGATATTTTACTTCTGATAACTTAAGAAATAATGGTGGTTAGTAGTATATGGTAGTATTTTTTTCTCTTCCTATGCACAGTTATTTCCATAATACTACTTGCTTTTTTTATTTGGTAGCGGGCGCCCCAAGCCTTCAAGTCCCCCTCCATGGTGGTTCCTGTGCCGCAGTGGGCGGCCCCTTCGGAGGCTGTTCCTGAGCCGCAGTGGGCGGCCCTGTCCGAGCCTGATCCTGTTCCTGAGCCGCAGTGGGCGGCCTCGTCTGAACCTGTTCCTGAGCCGCAGTGGGCGGCCCCGTCCGAGCCTGATCCTGTTCCTGAGCCGCAGTAGGCGGCCCCGTCCGAGCCTGTTCCTGAGCCGCAGTGGGCGGCCTCGTCTGATCCTGTTCCTGAGCCGCAGTGGGCGGCCCCGTCCGAGCCTGATCCTGTTCCTGAGCCGCAGTGGGCGGCCCCGCCCGAGCCTGTTCCTGAGCCGCAGTTGGCGGCCTCGTCTGATCCTGTTCCTGAGCCGCAGTGGGCGACCCCGTCTGATCCTGTTCCTGAGCCGCAGTGGGCGGCCTCGTCTGATCCTGTTCCAGAGCCGCAGTCGACGGCTCCCTCTGAGGCTGTTGCAGAGCAACAGAAGCGGAGGCGGCGTCCTCCCCGGCGCATCCTGCTGAAGCGGGGGCGGCGTCCTCCCCGGCGCATCCTGCTGAAGCGGGGGCGGCGTCCTCCCCGGCGCATTCTGCTGAAGTGGGGGCGGCGTCCTCCCCGGCGCATCCTGCTGAAGCGGAGGCGGCGTCCTCCCCGGCGCATCCTGCTGAAGCGGAGGCGGCGTCCTCCCTGGCGCATCCTGCTGAAGCGGAGGCGGCGTCCTCCTCGGCGCATCCTGCTGAAGCGGAGGCGGCGTCCTCCTCGGCGCATCCTGCGGTGGCGGCGTCCTCCTCCTAGGTTTCTGCTGCATTGGAGACGCCGGCCTCCAGAGCGTCTCTCTCAGCTCCGGCCCCACGGCCGGCCTCCAGAGCGTCTCTCTCAGCTCCGGCCCACGGCCGGCCTCCAGAGCGTCTCTCTCAGCTCCGGCCCCACGGCCGGCCTCCAGAGCGTCTCTCTCAGCTCCGGCCCCACAGCCGGCCTCCAGAGCGTCTCTCTTAGCTCCGGCCCAACGGCCTCCAGAGACTTTTTGTTTCCCTCGCCCACCCTGGGTGGGTTGTTTTTAGTTTCTGGACATTTTAGGGCGTCTGGGATCCACCCTTAGGTGGGGGGTACTGTCATGGTCCTGGCCTGATTGTTCCTGTTATCCATTTGTTGTCCTCTGCTGCCCTCTTGTGTCCTCCCTTCCTCTGTTTCTCTGTCCTGCCAAGCACCTGCTGCCAATTTCCTCGTCAGCTCTCTCTCTGTCTCTGTCCCCTTTAAAAGCCCTCTCTGTTCAGTTCGTGTTTGCTGGATCCTCGTCAAACATCCTGTCTAACTTCTGTCTGTGTACCTCATCTCTCCCTGGCTCCTAGTTTGGATTTACCACTGATGTCTCCTTGGTTCAGGTTCGTTTGCTGTTTACTTTTGGACTCTGATTCCTGCTCCTGGATCTGTGAACTTTAATAAAACCACTTTAATTCACCTCTGCCTACTGGTCTCTGCGTTTGGGTCCTCCATACAAACACCGACTCATGAAACGATTAGCTTTTGTGGAGCTGTGGTTCAAAGTTTATTGGTTGTGTCGCAGGTGGGAGTATGAAAAACAATGAGCTTCTTCCGCCTAGGCTCCATATATAACAACCAGTTGAAACAGTAATGGGCTGGTTATCCTCCCCGCAGCAGTGTGTTGCAGCGAGCTTAACGCAGATATTTCTAATTTATGCCCAATATTAAAGCACGGTCTGCGCTAAGTTATTGCACGCCGCAACGCAAGAGGGACAATCACAAACTAGCTGTAGGTCCAGATACGGCTGAGGCGGTGAGGAAGTGGGGGTAAGTTTGTGTAACAACGGAGGGACACTAGGATGGAGTGGGGATGCAGGTGGAAAAAGAGCCCCAGCGTTCTCACACACCTTGCTATTCTAGCTGGTCCAACTTTACAAGTCGCTTTCCACGATGGCGGTCATATAAACAAAACAAGCAGGTAAGGTACCAAACAGGAAATACGCATAGTGTAGAGCGGATGTAGATTTAACCAATCAGAGGCCTCCTGTCTGTGGCACTGTCTGAGGTCACCTACAATTTTGGAAAGGTGCACCAGAGTGTCTGAGGAAGGGGCGGGGGCACATTTGCGTTCACTGCGACACAAAAG